ACTGTGGAAAACAGGTTTCATTTTGTATCAAACCACCATAAAAAGAAAAATATAGAGCATTTTGTCAAGTAAAGCTGCAACAAATGCAGCAGTTTTAAATGTAGCCTAGAAAAAAAGCTTCTCTCTGTTGATTGTTTTATCCATTAAGTGATGTTTAATGTGTTCTTTGCTTCAGAAAATCTGACACAAAGCTACAAAGGTGACCCAGTTAGCGACGATGGCCTCAAACAGAGAGGCTGGACTCAATGATTGAGAGAAGGCAGCAGAGATAATACAGTTTAAATGTTTGGCAGACACTTTGCTTTTAGAGTATTAAATTAGATAATGGGATGGAAGAATATATGGACAGACTAATTAATAAATAGAATTAATTAGTGGATATTTGAATCATGATGGACAGACTAGCTTAGGGATAAAAAGATAAAGCAATATCTCTATGGAACGACAGGTGTCCATACAGATCAAGGCTTAATTTTTCTGGAATTATTATTTTTTTTCAAACTATGTCAGATTCCTGTTTGTATTGCATTCAGCTTTTTATTGTCCACATGCAAACGATAAATATTTCTTGGGTATTTATCACATGCCCTGTAAATGTCCTGTTTGCGTTTGATTGGTCAAGCCCTTATTCTTCCTGAGAGATGCAGCCTGTAGGTAAAACTATCTGCCACATGTCAGGTGGTCTACAGATGGAGCCATGAGCAAAAATACAAAGAATAGTCCTTCTGTTTGTTCACAATTTAGCAACAGATGTCAGCAAAACAGCAAATATTTCAATTTAAAAAGCAATTCAAATGGAACTTTGGCTCAAAACTCTAAAGATCAACAAACCTTTGTGTCTCCAACATGCAAAATTCAAAGATTTTCACATTTTGAATATTTTGTTATCTTGATATTTCATCCTGAGGTTTTAGGATATTCTCCAAAAACTGGAAACTTGAACTGAAAATATGCTATTTTTTTGTGTATTGCTTCCAGTGGTACAACTTTTTAGGCCAAACTGTTACTCTTACCAAACATATCAGGTGATTTTCAAAGAAAGAACGAAGTATTCTCCAGATCTTCTGTCCCAGCTGCTCTCTTCTGTCACATTTAAAGACATGAAATCCACTGCAAATATTTTCAGATCTGACAAAGTTGAGGTACAATGTTTAAATGTTGGATCCAGAAGCATCAGGATCTTAGGTTTTACTGTTTTGCATTTTTAAAGTTAGGTGCAGATCTTATTTTTATGATGAAGTGTAAATTTGGAGTTTGTTTTGGGTTGCGGCTTTGAAAAGTCAATGAGATTCTGTTGGGAAGAACCAAACAAACTGGGCAGAACTTGATGTTAACAGTGTTTTTATTTAGTTTTATTAATAAGGTATGAAACCAGTCTGAGTTCTGTACCTGGCTTAGCATTAATGCTAGTGAGTTTGGTTGAAGGAGAACCCCTGAGTTTAACATTGAGGGTTTCATGAGCGTCAACCAAATGTAAGATTTGTTGCAGAAGAGACCAAAACTGGAGAAATCAGCAAGTTGCACTTTAATCACATAAACAAAAGAAAAAAGACCTGATCAACTGGTATTATCTTCTGCTTAAACTGTCAAAAAAAGAAAAAAACCTGTGGATTCATGTTTAAAATTGTTAATAAAGGTTTTCTAGAACCAAGTCCATTGTTTTGTTTTTTCAAAGCACATTTTATAGCAGCAGGTCCTTAAAGTGCTAAAGGTTGTGTACAGCTACCAGATCTGCAGGACTGGAAATGTAAATAAAATCATTCACCGCTCTCATCGTTGGATTCTTATTTATTTTTTCCTGTTTCTCATTTATTTTGTGGATGAAAATGTTTGACTGATTATTATTGAACACTAAGGATTATGCTGTTAAAATTTTTCTTTCTTTGAATCTGTTGCATTGCTGACCTTTTAACCCAAAGGATCTAAAATACAGCAAGTTCTGAGGAGGCTGAAGGTAATTTTGAGAAACCATTTGAACAGAATGTTTTATTTTTCTACAGTGAAGTTTCAGTAATACACTGTACTTAGTACTAAATATCTTATAAAATGCTCCTCTGTCTTCCTTCAGATTCAATTGATCCTTTTAAAGCAAATGCATCATTTTCATCAAATCGTTCAGTTTTGGCCTTTTGACACAAATCAATCTTTTATATTTTAGGCTGACAGTGCAAAAAACCTCAAAGCACTTTCTCTCTGGTGTAATTATTATTCTGTGTCCTTCCCATTAGTATGGTCCAACTTGCAACCAAAGAACGTACAAAATTGTGCAGCTGACGCAGGAATACTTTACAACAGCATTGCATTGAAAGATGCAATGCTGTTTTAAAGCATTAATTTTAAACCAAATTAATGCTCATGATTTCATTTCCAAACCCATTTTATACATCTAAGTGCAGGAATTTCTTTCCACCTTCATCCTATACATGTCTCTGATAGAGTGGTATCTGTAATCTGTCTCCCTGAATAAGCAGTCAAACTTGCTTACTCCCAATACCATAATTTTCTTAGTTTTTTTTTTTTATTCAAATATAAATCACACGGTTCTTTCAACCTGCCATATTTTATCTTCATATTTTCTGCCATCTGAAAGGCTGTGGGCACCAAATAGTTTTAAAATGTATTAATAGTTTCTACACAGCAGCTGTCTGCCAGTTGTTACTGAAGGCCGCTGCTGCGCTATACACAGTAAAGTCCAGTGTTAAATATTTAGTGTCAAAGTACATTGACTCTTTTACAGTTATTACAACCACAACGGGAGTAAGAGATACACCATTTAGAGTTTAACACTAATTCAGAGTGGGACCAAATGCACTTGGACTGGTGTTAAATTTAACTCTTAAAGTGCTACTTTAATATGAAACATGTAATGTGTATAAAGGGCAGGAATCCCAAGGCAGGAAACCTCAAGGCCAAAAAGTCACAATAAGAAGCAAAAAAAAGTGGTTTATGTTTGGTAGTTCTGGAGCTGGGGATCTATCAAGAATCTGTCAGCTTACTAAAAACTTAACCAGTGGGAATGTTAGGAGGGTTTTCTGTAAAGCACAGATTAAAAAGGTCATGTAACACACTTTAACGCACAGGTCCAGTCCATGTTTGGTCCCATTTTAAAAGGGAATCCAAATAACAGATTGACACTAATCTATTTAATAAAGTGTCTTAGAAAGTTTCCAAATCCTCTTTACCAAATACCAATCAATCCACCACTTACTCTTAAAAAAAGTAATTTATTGCAGCATGGAATTGCGATCTCACAAATGATTTTTTTCTTTATTTATTTATCCATGTGTTGCATCCATTTTGATTCAAAAAACAACATTTTAAACAACAGTCACATGACAAAGTGACACCGCTCAAATCTTCCTCACAGCTACGTCAATCGGACACACATGAAACAAAGGGTCTCTGAAACACTTTTCCTTCTTTTTGTACATCAAATGGAACCAAACTAAGGGTTGATAATTACTGGGCAGAGTTAAAGTTTCAAAGGTCAGAAATAATCAGCATAAAACAGGAAGTTGCATCATTGCATGGTGGACTGTTGGGGGATGTTTCTAGAGCTGTTGATGGGTGTTTTATGTCTGTGTAAATTCTCATTCATCCAGGTAATGGCAACCACAAGCAGGCTGATATTATAAGGAAGCAACCAGACTATTTCTCACTTATTTTAAGATGTTTCTTATCCAGTAGTCTTTGTCAACCAGCTCAGATTTGATTGCTCTAGTGTGAGCCAACAGAATTGACAAAGACTCCTGGATAGGTGTCGAAACGTCTCCACAAACTGAGTGAAGGTCCAGTTGCCTCCCAATTTAACCTTCTTTGTGATGCATGTTTTAGTTTTTGACTGGAAGCCATAAATCCCACAGTGAAATGACCAGTCAACAAACAACTTGAATGAGTTTGATAAACAATTTGAGTAAACATTTGAATTTGAAACATTTCAGTCCTGCTTATTAAACCATGAAGAACAATGAACTAATCAAAATGCAAGAACAAAATATATTTTGTATCTTAACGTACAATTCAAGTGTGCTTTAAACAGCATTTAACAGTAACCATCCATCCATCCATCCATCCATCCATCCATCC